TAAAGGCCACTTGTGTGATAGATTAAAGTCAGAAGCCACGCAGTTTACCTTTTTGAATGATTCTCCATTTCGTGTGGCTGTTGAAGGCTATGAATCAAACAACTTCAGAGGACCCAAAACTCCAGCCTTCATTATCTGCGAACAGGTTCAAAGAACAGACTGCTGATAAGAAAACATTCACGAGCTGAAATGAAGCTGAATGAATCAAACTGAATGGATAAAACAGTGTGTGATGCTAAATCCAAATGTTAATGACAAATAATGACGCAGCAACTAAAATTAAAGACCAAACGCGGCTCTGTAAAAAGTCTTGTGTCATAATCCAGTCAAAGTCACTTCCAGGCGGTTACAGTACTTGCTATAATCTGGCATATGTTATTATTATGTAGTTAATGTGAGCGTATTTTGAATTACTCTAATAGATATGGGGTTGTATTGGTTAGCAGTCAGCTACAAATCTCAATATGCCGACAGAAACCTTCATACAAACAAACTTGCTTGATGTCAACTCGCACAAGTGAGATTCAATATTACATGTCAAATAGCACGGCATGGAGTCTGTGTAACGTTATATAATGTTTAGCTGTAGGAAGCTTTTAGCAGATTTCGTGTTTTGGGTCAAACAACCATATGGGATTTCTGGATTGATCGTTTAGTCACACGCGTGAGCTAATGTAAACACAGCCAGCATTGTAAACTAAACAAAAAAAATAACCGATATTGAAACCGTACATACCTGTGGGTCTTTAACGAGAGCCATTTAAAGAAATCGAAGTCCGTTCGGTCCAGATGTAAAAGAGGTAGGCCAAATAATTAAAGATTAAGCTCAAAGTTGACAACAAGCGATGTCGGTGCGGGGACTTTTATTTTGAAAATGAGATCTGACATTACTCAACACGGGGTTGTGTTGTGTCAAAAGTCTTGGGTCAATTTCACTAACATTTTATTTGACGACCCGCTTAAATACCCGTACATGTCACAATATATAAATAGAATTATATTATTGTATTAATTGGGGATGAACGAAATAACTTTAGTTTTTTCCTCTGGATATAGATCTTATGAATAATAAATACTGTAACACTTAGTAAGTTGTAAGTATTGATTAATGTATTTCATTCATTCAATCATTTTCCTTCGACTTAGTCCCTTTATTCATAAGGGAGCGCCACAGCGGAATGAATTGAAAACATCAACACATGTTTTACACGGCGGATGCCCTTTCAGCTTTAAAGTATTTTAGTCAACTACCGTATAAATATACAAATATACTTATATATAGTTTTTTAAAATGTGTGATATTTACTCTTTTAATGATTTAAAACATTCTTTACAAGCCGTGCTACATGGATTTGTTGAAATGTTATATGTTAGATGACTAAAATACATAAAAAACAACACTTAAAACTGGCTGCGGTTAACTAGGCAGGTTAGGGTAATTAGGCAAGTTATTGTATAATGATGTTTTGTTTTGTAGACTATCGAAAAATATATATAGCTTAAAGGGGTTAATAATTATGTCCCTAAAATGGTCTTTAAAAAAATTAAAACTGACTTTCTCCAGAAGAAAAAATATTATCAGACATACTGTGAAAATTTCTTTGGTCTGTTAAACATCATTTGGGAAAATTTTAATAAAAGAAAAGTCAAAAGGGGCCCGGGGGCTAATAATTTTGACTTCAACAGTGTGTGTGTTTATATATATATATATATATATATATATATATATATATATATATATATATATATATATACATACAAATATATAGAAATCCTGTCAAATTTAGCTTTGCTAATTTTTTATTTGGTAATATTATGTTGTTGTACTGCTGAAATACCACAGGATTACCACAGGACATTTTTATGAGGGACATTAGCAACTGTAGGCCTAATGTCCATATAAAAAAACTGTAAAACAAAGTGAAAAGATCCAAATCTGTAGCATTAGCTAAAATGTTAACACAGGCATTCAGAATCGACTGCCACATTAGCTACACTGTTAACGGCTAACACATTAGCTATTGCAGGCCTGACGTCTATATAAAGAAATAAAAAAACTAAGAGTTTTTTAAATGAAAAGATCTAAATCTGTAACATCAGCTAACTTGTTATATAACACAGGCATTCATGTAAAAGTACTTGTATAGCCTGTCTTATGTGTATAGTTAAGTATATCCTAGAGTATATGTTAGTTATGCATAGGCTTTTTAAAATAGCGCTTATGTATAGTGTTGTGTTTGTATTTATGATTAAT